TCGGGGTGTGACCCCGCCAGCCCGGCGGAGCCCCGCTCCCTAAACGTCTCCCCGCGCCTCTGGCCCTTCGCGGGCGCCCTGCGGCCGGCGGGACCCTTGGGCCGGCTCCCGGCCCCGCTCCCGTCCGGTTTCCAGACTGCAGCCGGGGACCGTCGCCCTCCAACCCGAGCCGAGGTGTCCCCTGTCCCAGGACTCCTCCAAGGGCTCCTCGTTTCCTCCAGGGCTAAGTTCCTCCTCCACAGCGCTCCTGGGTGCGGCCCGGCCGCCCCTGGCTCCCCCCGGGACCCTTCTGCTCAGGTCCTCCTGGCTGTTTCGTTCTAGCTGGGGACCTGTGCTTTCTGGAACTCCCAGTCTCCTCTGGGCTTTTGCTCCTGCGTTCCCCGCTGCCCTGTGCCGGGCACTTTTCTCTGCACCACTCAGGGCAGCTGTCCCACTCTGGCTGGCCGGTGAGGTGCTGTCACCGTGTCGTCTGTATTTAGGTCGTCCTAGAGTATTGCAGTTGCTCAGGTCCCTGTTGGCTGTCATAACTCCTCTGGCCCTGCCAGCGGGGCGCCCAGTGTGTGCTAGTGGAGGGAGGCGCCAGGGCTCAGGGCTAGGGCTGGGTTCCCTGCGAGTGAGACACCTGGGAGTGCCCTGCTCCTCCAAGACCCAGCTTTCAGGGCACACGGAGTGACACTCACGAGTGATCTTCTGGAGCCCCCTGTCACAGTGAGGGAGGTATGTGGGCCCCTGTTCTGAGGCAGGAAGAGAGCAGTGTCACTTCTGGGGGCAGTGACGAGGAGTGGGTTACTAGATGCGTGAACTGGAGAGGCCCCCCTGAATTTGGCAGCGGGCTGGGGTGAGGGATTTGTTCTCTATTCTCAAAATAGTAGGGCACCCCAAAAGGAAGTGGTGGGATCAGGTTGGTCTTGGCTGCTGGAGAACGAGTGACCAGGAATGGGTGATGGCGGCCCACGGTGGGACTGCCAGGGAGAGAGACCCCTGCAGCATCCGGGTAGGGGTTGGGGGGGCAGGGTCAGGGGTTGGAGGGAATGAGGAAGACCCCGTAGCCTGGGAGCCAGGGGGTGAGGGGAGATGTCAAGGCCAGATACCTGTGCTTCTAGTTCTGTCTGTTGGACTTTGCCCACTTTGGCTTGACCCTTCATCCGCTGTGCTTGCTAGATCCTTCCACCTGCCATCTGGCTCGGTGCTGGTCTCCCTGTCTAAACCTCTGGCTCTCACAGCCCCCCAGCACCACTGGGGAGTGCAGTGTTGACCTGAACCTTTGAGAATACATTGGACACTGGTCCTGAGCATCCTGGTCTTGGGGGACTTCGGGGACATAGCTTTCCTGGTGGTGAAGGGAAGGTACCTTTGTGGGCTGTCCCGCAGTGTCCATGGCCTCTGGCCACTCACTACTGGGCGCACCCTTCACTGTCTTCACATCAAAAGTGCTTCTGGACATTGTTAGTTGGGAGTGAGGGGGATGGCACGCCTCAAACTCTTACCTTTCAGAACCAGGAAGACACCATCCCGGGGCTCTCCCTGGTGGCACAGGGGTTAAAGTGCAGCACCGTGAAGCTGTCTGCAGCCACTGCAACCTGAATTCGATCCCGGCTGGGGGTGACCCACAGGGCACAGCAGACCTTTCCTATGTTGCTGCTCCCCTCAGCAGTGTACTTCAGTCTTCCTGTTCTGCTCCCCACTTTGTCTCTGGTGAACCCTCTCACCGCCCCCACACCTCTGGCCTGTACCCAGTTCTTGTGTGCATAAATAAAATTTTTTTTTTTAAAAGAGACCATCCCCTCTGGAAAATGCTTACACATAAAAGCATGTGTTCTGCCTGGGTGCGCAGGCACTTCAGGAAGCTATCTGTGCTCCCACCTTGGCTTTTGCAGCTCTCTGGTTTCTCGCAGTGTACCCCCAATGTGGGGACTGCGTCTGTACCTCTCTCTAGCCCTTCAGCTCGGATCCCGGAACTGGGATCCAGAGGGAGCAGGTGTGTTTCTGCGCCTCGCCAGCTCCAGCCTGCTCTGGATTTGTGTGTCTCTAGCCAGGTGCTTTTCAAATGTTGTGACTCTAAAACCAACCAAGGTGCCAAGATGTCTTGCTGCACACACTCAGTGTGCGTGTAATTCTGCTGTGGCAGAACGAAGTACACACACAGGTCTCTCACACCTGCATATTTTCCCGGTCTGTCGGCAGCTTGGCAGCACTCGCCCTGGTGACTTAGCTCCAGTCTATACATAGCTTTTCGATCGTGCAAAAGGGAAGAACTTCTGAGTTTCTCCCCTGGGCCATACCCCTTAATCTGCCTCATGGTTACTTCCTCCGCGAGATGAGTTGTGTCTGCACTGATAGACAAGGAAACTGAGGCCAGGGAAGTGAGTGACATGCTCCCCATCACCGGCCCTACGTTGACAGCCGGGGAAGGAGCCCTGGCTTCCCGGGACCCCCAGCCAGCGCCAAGCACAGGGCCACTGTCCAGGCCTCCGGGCTTGTGAGTCTGCGGCATATCCTGCTTTTGTTCTCAGGCCTGTGTTGTTTCCTCTGTCTCTCTGGATATCGCAGTCTGCCCGCAAGGGTCCCTCCAGCCAGCAGCCCACTCTGGCCTCAGTGGCCTTGTCATTTGGGGGCGGTGGATGAGTCTTTGAAGATCTGTGTGGCAGTGGTTGGGGGACAGTGGGGGTGAGCCACAGGGACCAGAGGTATGGAGAGGGACAGGGTTTCCCTGGGCCTAGAGCAGGGGCTGTGTGTGGGGGTGAGGTTGGGGTGGGCCAAGGGACTGAGTGGGCTCAAATTGTGAGAGTTGGTGACTGAAGCTGAGGAATGGGGGCAGCAGATGGGGTGTGGCCAGCTTGGCGCCGTACAAAGGTCACTTGGTGGATTTTGTTCCACATAGCCAGCTGCCGGAAGTCGGAGAATCCCAGAGCTAGAGGGTGGGCATGAGAGTTTTGGACAGTTTGGAGAAGGCCAGGATGCTCTGGAAATGACAGGGTGGGGTCCCAGCCTCCCCATCTGGCAGGGCAGGTTCCCCGCCTTCTGGCATGCCTCCAGGGACCTCACATCTCATCTTACTGTTCCCTGCAGGGCTTCCCTCTGCACGACGTGGAGACGCACGACTGTGAGGCTCTCGAGGGCTCAACTTGGACCACGATGGGGCTGGGTTGCAGCCCCCTAACGGGGCTCTCATCTGGGGTGGTGGCCGGGGGTCACCCTCCACGCTGCCTGTGTCTCGGAGCCCCCCCACCTCTCCCCTGTCGAACGAGGCCCTCCCCAGGGCCTGGAGCCCGCCATGAACGGCCTGTCGGTAACTGAGCTCTGCTGCCTCTTCTGCTGCCCGCCCTGCCCCGGCCGAATTGCTGCCAAGCTCGCCTTTCTGCCACCAGAGCCCACCTACTCACTGGTGCCTGAGCCAGAGCCAGGGCCTGGCGGGGCTGGGGCAGCTCCCTCAGGGACCCTGAGGGCTTCTGCTGGCACCCCTGGGCGCTGGAAGCTCCATCTTATGGAGCGCGCTGACTTCCAGTATGGCCAACGTGAGCTGGACGCCATTGAGGTCTTCCTGACCAAGAGTAGCCGTGGCAACCGTGTGGCCTGCATGTATGTGCGCTGTGTGCCCGGTGCCAGGTGAGCCCCGTACGTGAGCTGTGGGCTGAGGATGATATCCTGGGGTGCGCTTCATCCTTGAAACTCCCTTCTCCCTTGTGGAAGGGATGATCCAGATTCACTTTGAGTGTCTGACTGCCCTGGGCAGTTGGTGTCCTCTCCTATGTAACTTCCAGCACCCCACCTGACTAACAGGACCCTAGTGGCTCAGAGTGACATGCTGTCTGCTTTGGGATGTGACAGTTCACTTGCGCAGGGACTTTTCTCAGGTGCGGGGTGCCCAGTGACGTCTTGGCACCGTTCTTGGGTTGTTGGGACCCTTCTGGGCCTTCTTCCTTTGTGCTGGAAACAGGTTTTCGCTGAGCCTGCTGGATGGGGCAGGGGTGGGGTTCTCCAGATGCTTTGCCTTTAGACCAGACTGGGTTCTAGATCAAAGAGCAAAGTGTGAACTTTTACCTTTCCGCTGGGCTGGGCTGAGGCAGGTGGTGCCGGAGGAAGAAGTCTGTCCAGGGTCCGGCCAGGCCCCTGCTCTGTCAGGGTGTGTGCCTGGGGCTGGTGCCCGGGGTGAACCTGGGCAGGTCCTGCTCAGCTGGTGGGCCAGGGCGGAAGAGTGCCCTGGTTTTCTGTGGAGGGGAGGGGCGTGGCACCACTGAATAGGGATGGCTGTGTTTGCGTGCTGGGTGGGGCCGTGTCAGGAGTAGTGGGGACCTCCCTGCTGGTGGAGAAACCTTCACCTCATTCTAGAGGGTCCCCCACATACTTGGGCTGCCAGAGTCTCTCCAAAAGGAATGCTTCCCGAGGAGAGTGGACAGAGGCAACGGTGGCCGCCAGACTCACGCAGCCAGACTGCCCTATGCTGTGAACAAGCCCGTGGCCCCTGTGGAGGCCTGGGCCCAGCTGCGTCTCCTCCCGAGAGCACGCATTTTGCAGCACGGCTGGACAGCCTGTCCTCTGTTAACACTCATCCTCCCTGGCGGGCACCGGGCGACTGGGACAGCTCTTCTCGCCGTTGACCTGTGCCCCTCCCCCAGGTATACGGTTCTCTTTTCGCACGGCAATGCAGTGGACCTGGGCCAGATGAGCAGCTTCTACATCGGTCTGGGCACACGCATCAACTGCAACATCTTCTCCTATGACTACTCTGGCTACGGAGTGAGCTCGGGCCGGCCCTCGGAGAAGAACCTCTATGCTGACATCGATGCTGCCTGGCAGGCCCTGCGCACCAGGTGAGGACAGGCCACCCCACTCTGACGGCTGGGCTGATAGGCTGGGGTGAGGCGTCAGCCTGGACTGCCCCTTCTGAAGTGACCAGACCCGAGGCAATGTGGGTGGCCTGAGGAAGGGGGAAGCCTGGGAAGGGAGGAAGCCTGGTGCCCTGTGAGCCATATGGATTACTGGGCGAGGCCTGGCCCTGCCCTGCCCCTCTTGGTGGTGACTGGTGCACAGGGGGCTGGCACTGCCCTTCCGTTCCTGGGAGCACCTGACCTGGGACAGGATAGGGCAGGGCTGGGCTGCCTTCAGGGGAGTGAAGGCTTAGCCCGGAGGGAGGGGATGGGCTGAAGACACAGCCTGAAGGGACATTTGGCAACCCCAACGCCAGAAAAGCATCTGGGCACAGGTGGGGCCAGGCAGCCACAATGGGGCTTTGGGGGAGGGGCAGCGAGGCCCCGTGGTCAGGAACCTGGCCTCATCTGGGTGGTACCTGGCTCCTCTGGACCTGAATGGTTCTGGAGGGTGACTTGGTGCCCAGCACAATGGCTGGCAGAGAGGTCAGTAAGCAGAGGCAGTGCCCTGCCACACACCGAGATGGGACCCTGCAGCCTGAGCCATCCTCCTCCTGACACTTAGCTCCTGGCCACCCAGACCCAGGGCGGTTACCTCGAGCTCTCATAGGCGTACGTGAAACACAGTCTCTGTTCCCTGGCCAGTGTTTGCTGCGTGCTGCCCCTTGTCCGGCGTTGCACCAGACCCTGGCGCACTTCCCCCAGCTCTCCTGAATGGCACCCTGACCAGCTCCTGCAGGGTTCCAAGTCTGCCTACCCTGGGGAGGTGGGGCTCGTTGCCGTGGTGATGTACCAGGCAGTCCCTGCTACAGGCCTCAGGAGGGGGGTCCCATGGCACTACCCTGGTATCACGGACCTGTCCTGGCTAGCATGGTAAAGGTCTGTGCCCACCTGTGGCTGTGTCAGCCTTTCCTGCCATCCTTGCTGGCCAGGGTTTCTGCAAGTCACACCCCGCTGGGGTCAGGCTCTGAGCTCCACCCACCCACCCACCCATCCTGCTATGACCCAGCAGCTGGAGAGTGGGAGGGAGGGGGGAAGCTTGTGGCCAACGGCACGGGAGGCTTGGGGAGGCAGAACAGCTCCACCAGGCTCCTGGAGACACCCGGCGGCAGCTGGGAAGCTCTGCTGGAGCTGGGTGATCGGCTGGGTGGTTGTTCTCACAGCAGTGGCTGCGGAGGCCAGGGGACAGCTGGCCAGGGCAAGCAGTGGCCACTGGCCTAGAGTGCTGCTAGGGCTGGGCAGGTGCAGAAACTGACCAAGTGGGCTGCCCAAGTGCAACACACGCCTGCCCTTGCTTGGAAGAAGTGGCCCTGGGAGGTCTGGAGTGCATGAGCGCTGTGGCGGCCTTCTGCAGGGGAGAGTGGTCCCCATTCAGGGAAACAGCCACGTGGGGCTCTGGAGTGAACCACCCTGGGTGGGGGAGGCCTGTTGGGGAGGACTCAGGGCCAGGCCACTCTGCAGGGAAGGTGCCCACAGGGCTGTTACTGTGTAGCCGTGTTGGATTGATCACTCAGTATGGGTTGGGGGTCACCAAGGGACTGCAACAGTGACAGGGTAGCTGAGGGATGCTTTCCGGGGGCGGGGGGGGCTCAGACATACTTCCTAGTCCAGAACAGTAGGGACAGGAAGGCCCCACGCAGGTCCGTGAACCTCCTGGGTGTACCTGTGCATGTGTGGTGGGAGACCAGAGGAGCAGGCACCTACCTTGCCCCTTAGAGCAATGGGGTGGCCATGGGGCTCCCACCAGGTGCTCCCCGGGTGTGATCTGAGTAGACACTATGGGAGAAAGTGAGGCTGGAGCCAGGTGACCTGGCGCTGCAGGTGGCTGGCCAAGTCCTCACCCTCGGGGTCCCCTCGTGCCTTTGGGTGCGAGCCTGTTCGGTTTGCGGGGAGGACAGAGCACAGTTCCTGGGCCCAGCCCTAGTGGGGCGACAGGCCTCAGGTGGGCTCACCTGGAGGGGCGGAGGAGGGTGTGGGCACTTTTCTGCTTGCTCGTTGCGACTAAGCCTGACCTGCCACCACCAGGTATGGCATCAGCCCAGACAGCATTGTCCTGTATGGGCAGAGCATCGGCACGGTGCCCACGGTGGACCTGGCTTCGCGCTATGAGTGCGCTGCGGTGGTGCTACACTCCCCGCTCACCTCGGGCATGCGTGTCGCCTTCCCGGACACCAAGAAGACCTACTGCTTTGATGCGTTCCCCAAGTGAGCCGGGCTGTGGGGGGGGCGGGGGAGCTGGGCGGGAGGTGGGCCGCGGAGACCTGACGCACCCTGCCCACCTCGCAGCATCGAGAAGGTGTCCAAGATCACGTCACCGGTGCTTATCATCCACGGCACGGAGGATGAGGTGATCGACTTCTCGCATGGCCTGGCGCTCTACGAGCGCTGCCCCAAGGCCGTGGAGCCGCTGTGGGTGGAGGGCGCAGGCCACAACGACATCGAGCTCTACAGTCAGTATCTGGAGCGCCTGCGCCGCTTCATATCCCAGGAGCTGCCCAGCCAGCGTGCCTAGCAGTGGCCTGTGCCTCCAGGCCAAGCCAAGCAGCACCAAGCCGGGACCTCAGCAATAAAGTGGCTGCTGGACCTCGCCCCGCCCGGGGACTGCATGTGAACCCCTGGTCGACCCAGGCAGCCCCTGTCCAGGGTCCGTGGACTTTGTATAGGTGATGGAGCGCTACACTCCTTTCCTTTTGGAAGCTAAAAGAAGGAAAAACGTGAAAAAAATTAAAGATTTAAAATTTTAGGGATCCTCTGCTCCTTCAGAGACTCAGGTGTGTCCTTTCCCTGGGCTCAGCAAGCCCGAAAGAGGCACTGGGTTCCCTGGGCTTCCCTCCAAGTCAGTCTCCCTCTGGGTCAGAACCTCCCCTCTGGGAGAGGGGTGTGGGGTTTGGGTACCATCCAGAGGGCACCTGAGGCTGGTTGCCTGGTTACCTGGGTGGTGACTGATGGCTGTAGCATTGGAACCCAGGACCCGCCCCCCTCTGTTGGGTCTGCTGGACAGCCGTTGGCACCTGTTTCCGAGACAGCCTTGGGTGGGCTCTAGTGGCTCCAGATTGCCAGCACTGCGCCGAGGGCAAAGGGAGGGCCTCCGGTCGGGGCTGCCAGACTGGCCGGACCCCAGACCAGGCCAACATGCTTCCTTTGCACATGGGACCTGGAGGGGCGGGGGAGGGCACAGGCAGGGCACAGTACACGAGGGTGAGTGCTCCCGCCTGAAGTCCAGGTTTCATCGGTTGCTGCGGCAGGCTGCTCCTGTGACCGTGTCCTCCGCGCGCGCGGGTTTCCCGAGTCCCAGCCAGGGGAGGAGCCTTCGGGCCGGAAGGTGTCTGAGGCTGGCGGCCGGTCGAGGATCGCTCACGGGATAGGGCGGACGCGGCCAAGGTCCGGTGCGGTCGGCCGGGCCCGACACGAGTTCGGTGCGCGGACGGGGCGGCGCTTCGCGCTGGGGTGGGCGGAAGCGGAAGCTGGGGCCGCGCGCCCGGAAGCGGAGCGGGGAGCCGGAGAGGGGTCCGCGGGGTCGGCGGTAAGTGGCGAGAGGC